ATTGTCTGCAACCAGTGATTTCATTATTCCTTCATTAAAGCTTCCAGGTAGAAAATGTAACTTGGAGAATTTTGCCCAACAGGAATATAATTTCAGGTTTTTCACAGATTTAGAGTTTGAAATTATACAAAATACAAGCTTTGGTCCCCTAAAGGCCAGTTCTGATCATGGTAGCTCACTTCCTCTTCCAGAGGGGACAGGGTGGCTGCTCCAGGTAGAGCTAGTGTAAATCTGAGACAATGACAAGGACGTGTTTCATGCACACACAGAACAGTGTGGCACATTTGAGGATGCTGTGTGATCCAGCAAATCTCAGCCTAAATCAAAACCTCTGGGTATGGGGCCAAACATCTTCCTTTGTCCAGGTACCCCTGATCCTTAAACAGGGGCAGGGAGGGTGGAGGGAATGTGCATGGTTTGGTGCAGCATCTCCCAGTGGGCAGACAGTGAGCTCTGCCTGCATTCCCTCCAGCCCTGACTCTGCTCCATGGGCAGCCTAGGCCATACAGGATTGTCACTTAGGGCAGCAGCAGCAACACCTTGGTTTTGAAATGAGCTTCCTCTGGCTTTCTGTGTGCTCAGAGCAATCCTGGGTGATAAAAGGCTCCCTGCCCCCTCAAGTATTGGCACAAGACTGTTCTTTTTGTTTCCCCCAGAGCTTTTTTTGCATGCATGTTTCAGAGGCTGCAGACATATCTATTTAATCTGGATGATTTAAGACTGACAGGTTGCATTACCAAGAACATGCTTAGTCTCATCTCATGCATAACATCTGTATGAGGAAATTTGCCAGTGCATCATTACAAACATTGCTCCAGGGTAAATGCAGAGGTGGAGTTCTCAGAGAGGCTGTGTGCGGATCACTCCTCAGGATCTTTTGGCAAAAAAATTTAAGTGCTGGAAAATACTTGGTTCCTTACAGGGACAGAGAGTAGGTGAGAAGCAAATCTTGTTTTGGCACCAAAGGGATTTCTGGTGGAGGAGCTAGAAGCTGATGTTATTGGGGGGGAAAGCCCATGCAAACAGACCCAGCCAGTGCCTACTCACAAGGGACATCCTCCCTTCAGAGAAACGAGGGGAACAGTGCAGTCAGCAGCGTGATCAGAGAGATGCTCTACCCTGTACTGTGGGGCGAAAAATCTCCTGCTAAGAGAAAGGTCTCTGCTTAGATTGAATCTGTCACAACTGAGCTAGCAGCAGACTGGTGCTCTTGGAAGAAAAATATAACCTGTGGGTGGTTAAGCTCCTCTGAAGGAGTGAAGGAAAGAACAGAAAATTTATAAAGGTGTTACATGGGAGAGAGATAAAAGGGAAGTGTATTCCTGCCGCAAAAATAAACTGTATGATAGATTAAAATGGGAATTTGTTGTCAAAATTTAAGGGTAAGTATGATCAGTAATATTTGGGTAATAAAATGCCTGTGAGTAACAAGAAGTTTATCAAGGAATAATGCAAAGAGCCAAATGTAGCTAGGAAAAAACATTATGTTCAAGGCATTTAAGCCAGGAGGTGTTGCTAGAAAGGGTTTCTGTTCTTAGTGCTCATGAAAATAGATAAGTAACACTGGCTTCTGCCAGATAATAGGATTTTTTTTTTCTCTTCCACATTCATTAAAGTACTGTCTTGTAATGTGTAATGCCACTTTTTTTTATGGATAGTAAATGACTCTGAGCTTTGTTCCCAGCTGAAGTTTCCAGAGTTTCAAGGAATCCCTGCCCTATTACAACAGAATTTGGAGCTTTTTGGTTCATTTAATTTCTTGTAGTTGGGGGTGGAGGAGGCTTTCTGCTACAGCTAGTACAAACACATGTTGAGGATATTTGTGCATGCCCTGCAAAGATTTATAGAAATAGCAATTTTCCTGCTCAAATAATGGGTATAATTAATTTCCTCTTCTGGATGTCATCTGCTGCTCTCCAGCACCCCAAGATGAGATTCCTTTCTAGGAATGAAGCAGGTGAGGGACCTTCCTTTGTTTCTTCTGGGACTATGCGATATGCAAATTTAGAAACCATCCCTTCATACTTAAGACAGATCAACTCCACTGATAGCCTGGACTTACCCATGGGTAGGAATCAGGTCTGCTATGTATGATCCTTCACAAAATTAACATAAAAATCTAAATCTGTTAAAAAAACCCTCAGATGTGGGGCTGGCTGTGGTGTGTAAGTAAGGGAACATCAGTAAATTGCTGCAGGACTACCAAGATCCCAGGAGGAATATTGCTGCTGGTATCCCCAGTGCATGTGCTGGCTGGAGCACCTCAGTAAACCAGCTCTTATTCTGTAGCCTAGGAAATAGGCTGTTGAAAATAAAAATTCCCTTTACAGTATACTTCACCAGTGACTGTGATGAATTACTGAGTCCAGTGTGTACTTTTAAAGTGAAATTCCTGGGTGTATTTCACATTTTTAGTATGCATTAGTTGAGTATTTGATAAATGGAGGATTTTTCATTTTTCACTGATACATTTTCCCTGCAAAATAAGTATTTAAATATAATGCTATTGAATTCCTATCACAACAGTTGTCTCTGTCTTAATGCTGATAAGAAATTTAATTTGCTTCTTACAGCCTTCTACTAACCATGATAAAAACTTATTTAAATAAAGTGGATATCATCTCCTTAGAATTGCCAATGCCTTCTTCTTGGTAGGCAGAGCTGGTATATAATTTCTTTTCAGCTACCTTTAGAGGCAATAGGAAGAACTTTCAATTAATTGCAACTGTCTTGGCAAATCTGATCTTTCTAGGCAAGCCAAGACTGTGCAATAGTCTCCCCTAAAGCTGCTGCTGAGGAAAATTGCAGACAAAACATATAAATGTGTTGTTAATTGTGTGCTTGACTGGTTAAAGTCTTTGTGATATTGTGCACAATTCCTACTGTTTTACAGAGGAAGACAAAAACCACAAGACCTGTGTGTATTTACAGGAAGCTTAGAGGGATGACTTGACAGAGGAAAAGCCCAGCCAAACACTAACAAATCCTTGCTGTGTTTCCAGTTCTTAATCTGCCATACGTATATCAAAATTATTTGCAGTAACTGATGTGTTAATTATTCAACTGCAAATATGTCAGGAAACTGTGCAAGTGATAAAGGCAAAAGGTATATGATTTTTTTTGCAGTGGTGGATTAGTTGATTAGATAATGATTCCAAACCATTAAATACTTGTATTTTGACAGTCACTTAGCAGTGTGTCTTGCTACCTTACTTAAACACTTAGAGTAAATCATGTGGTGACCCTACCAGCATTCAGTGTCTACAGAAGCTGCATGTGGAGGAAAGAAACTCTTAGTCCATCTTTTTGTACACTTTGCAGCACATCTATTTTTAAAACCTCACACAGGACTTTGCCCCTGTCCTTTTCAGAGCACATACACGTCAGCTCTGCTTGTCACTTTTATTTTCCTCTGACTAGAGTAACTTGTAGAGGGAACTCAAAAAGTAAGCAGACAGCTGACATGACAAGAGCACTATCAGGCAGTGATGGCAAGCAGCTTTAAGCCATGCTTGGAAATGGGATTGGTTTTATTTCCTCCTCCCCCAGCTTGTCATGGTTTTTTTTGTTTGGTTTTGGGCTGGTTTTTTTGTTGTTTATTGTTTTTGTTTTGTTTGAAGGGTTTTTGTTTGTTTGTTAGTTTGTTTTTACTTTGAAATTCTGCTCAGCATTTTATTAGAGAAAATTCCAAAATCAAGATGTCCTGGAGAAAGTCAAGAGAGGAGAAGCAGAAGCATACTGAAACTGCTGAAAAGATGAGGTAGGGTCTAGCCCAGTGAGATATGAAGAGTCTGGCCCCCGAAAGGTGGCTTTGGGACAGCAAGTGCTCTGCAGCCTGAGTGCACAGTGAGGAATATGAGAGCTGAGCCACTGTTTGATGCCTGTGCAGATGCCATTGAACCCCACAGCAGAATAGGAATGGCACCTGAATGAGTGGCCAAGCTGAGATGTGCAGTGCAAACAGGGTTTTTTTTTCAGGGTGGGCTACTGAATGATGGCCACAAGTTAATTGGATGGGAGGAAATGAGTCCCTCATAGCTATCAAAAGTCATGGTGGGGTTAAATGTCTATAATTGTATGGGGAAAAATGAGCAATTGGCAGCCAAGGAGGAAGCTCTGGACACAGTTTATTGTGTACCCGGGATGTTTCTCTGGACCTCTTAGAGCCATGCACATAATTCCTGCTGCCCTGGTTTAGCAGCATGTGTTTCCTCACTCCCATAGACATCCTGAGCGTGCTTCTGGCTGGTCTCAGAGCCTCCCTTCCCTGGGCACAGCCAGCTCCAGGGGCATTTCCCTTCTCTTCTCACAGCTGGCTCCTGATCAGATCTGCTGTGTTTGCATGCACCCAGGGCAGGGGGTGGTTTTGGTCATAATCACTGTGCAGATGGTGCCCAGTTGCTCCATTTAAGCATTGTGGGGAATACATGGGCACAGCCACCAGCTTTACCACAGCTGGTGCTGAGAAATTAAAGTCTTGTCCTGCCTGTTTGTGAGTGGGTAAAGAAAATTTGGCACCCACTGCAATCCTCATCTCTCTTGCCCAGTCTCATGACAAAGCCACATCTGCTCCTTGCAGACCATTTCCTCCTCTGAGAAACTGCTTCATTTGGGGGAATCTGGGAGGAAGCAGTCCCTGCTTTCTTGCCCAATCATTTCACCCTAGCGTGCAGAGATGGACAATGTGAGATCAAATGCATTCAAGGGGAGGGAAGCTGAATGCCTGCTGGATACTTAGTAAGGACATGTCACTGCCTTAATCAAACTAAGGAGTGAGGAAGAACACAGGGGTTTGTAATGCTTTTCAGGGAAGCTCTGAGTTTAACTCTACCCACTCAGCCCATACAGCTGGGAGGTGTGGTTCTGCCGGGCTGAGGCCCGCAGGGTGTGGTGCCTGCACTCCCAGGATTAATTAATTATCGTTAATGCAACAACAGAACCTTCAATTTAGGCGTGCAAAGCCTGGGCTATAAAATCCCCCAGCTTCTTAGTACAGCCCCAGCCTGTGCTTGCCCCCTTTGTTTCTCCTACATGAGGAGGGCGGCACACCCCTGCCTGGCTGCAGAGGGCTAAGCCCCAAATACTGGAGTTAGCAGGTTGTGATGGCTCTGAGTAGCTTCCCCTGAGTGGGAGCAGCCTAAGCTGGCTGGGGAGGACAGGTAAGGCTGGGTGGCTGCAGGGCTTTGGGTAAGCAGGACCATATATCCCAGCATGGGCTGACCTGTCTAAGTATCAATGGTGCAAGAAAAGAATCTAACCTGGAGAGCAGGCATCATTCATACCTTTGCTTGCTCTTATCTTTGTAGAGAAAAGAAAGTACCAAAAATTAGAATGTATGTAATATTGCCATTAAGATGTGCTCTGTAGCTCCCTAATTCTATTGCTTATGGGTTGCTTCCAGAGTATTTCTTTCCTTCTCTTGGCCACATGGGTTTAGCATTAACTCCTTTATTTTTCCTACCTCGCATCTCCTGACTACCTTTGCAAATTGTGATTAGCTTTAAACACTTGCTTAGCCATCCTTGACACTGAGCAAGGCTTCTCTCTTCCATCTTAACGCTCTTTTCTCTTCTGACAGCAAGGTTATATACTTTCTCACCCTGTCAAGTATATGAACTCCTCAGCAAACATTTCTTATTGCCATCAAGACTAATGGTGCTTACAAGCTGAGATTTTTACATTTAATTTTAGTAATCTTCCCCTGTTTATCCACTCAAAGCTGCAAGCTGCCAGGCTATGATGGGAGGGAAAAAAAAGCCATTAATTTTATAGGCCCTGAGTAACCGGGTTTGCTGAGTTTGTAGGTATAAAAGCAAAACAACCTTCAGTGCAGAAATTAATATGGGCTCGCCACGCAAACAGCTGTATGATGAACTTCAACTTGGAAACTTCCCCCCTGTCTCTTCTCCCTCTGGTCCAACTGATTGTGCAAATGCAGTGCATTCCTGCTCCAGGAATACAAACCTGAGCAGCCTGGTGCTGTGACATGGCTATGTGCTGGGATGCAGCAGCTGCCTATGCCAGCCTTGGGAGAGCTCAGCCTTGAATGAAATCAGGTTTTCTTCCTGTGGCTGGAGGAACCCAGCAACACGAGCCTTCGTCAGTGGCAAACAGTGAGGTAAGAACTTGTCGATGAGTCATGCTGAAAATCAATATTTCTTCTGCAGTTTTAGTTGTAAGGAAGATGGATGTCCAGGGTATGTTGAGCATAATCCATGGTGATATACTCCCTGCATTCCATGGGAATAAATGGTGGCCTAGTCCAGAGAGTAGGCAAGTGGACTTCAGTGTTGGCACGTTCACCTGTGTGCTGGCACTGTAGGTTAAAGGACACCTCTCAGGCTCAAAAATAAACCAGAGACAGTGGGATGGGGTCCTTAGGATGGAGAACACAGCAAATGAGGTAGATGAAATTAAGGCTATCTTAAGGAAATTGGGGAACCTGAATGTTCCAGAAATGTGATCAGGCTATCATTCATTCTCTCATTAAGCTGACTGAAGTGCAGGTTGCTGGATTAAAAAAATAGCTTTTTGAAGGCATTTTTTGGCCAGACGTATTCCTTGAGCTAGCTCACTATGTGACTGCCCAAGGAGAGAAAAGCATGACTGAGGAGCAGCAGAATGGCAATGTCATTTGAGCATAGCTTCCATGCAGACTGGATTCTCCTGAGTAAGGAATAACCAGCCTCAGAGAATTTGGGCTATTCTTACTATTACAATGTTTAAAATGGCAATTGTCTCATCTTTTCTCATTCATGGGTTCCATTTTGCTTAACAAAGAGCAAACTTCAAACAGCAATTCACTCTTATCCCTTGAATGAGGTTCAAGGTGATGTATAAATCAAGGATTGTGATTTATTCTCATGCTATCACATGACTATTCAAGCTCAAGTCCCTGCAGAGAGGAGGTATTTTAAGAAGAAATAGCATAAATGTGGCCAGACCATTGAAGATGTTGTCCTTATCCGTGGATTACAGGGGCATGTGATTCATGGGAACTGCAGAGGATGAACTTCAGGGGCATCATGCTTTCTTTGCTGTAGTGCAAGCACAGAGGTCAGATTTTATTACAAAAGGTCTTGACGTTTCCCATTGGAAAGATTCTGTTTCAGACCAGTAGAGGGAGAAATCAGGCCAAAGACATTAATTAGTTTTTTCATGAAGATTTATGGAGGGGGAAAAAGTCTAATTTATCTCTATAGTTGGAGTGCAAGAACAGTTGTCTGTGTTGCTGCTGGGTACATTGCTGGTGCTCTTTATTATTCCATTCAATGAAAAGCTAACAAATCGTAAGTATATGTTATAGTTTCCTGACTGAGAAAAAAAAATGACAATTCAATTTGAGAAGCAAAGTTTAGTAGTCAGTAGCTCAAAAATGCACTGGAATATTTCACAAGGTAAAAAGAAACTATTTGCACATACGAAACACTTGCTGCAACTCAAAAAAGATAATCTTCTGAAGGTGTATAAGGTGTAATATCCCAGAAGACCGTTAAAGAATCTTTGAAATAATAAAACATTATAATAATAAGCAAGCTAGTAAATGTAGTCGCGTACGGATTTTGAGAAGTGATTGAAGTTATCACTGTCATCCATGATAGATTTGGTACAGCACAGGCAGAGAGGGATACAATAACTTGCACAATCAGACCCTACAAGAGAAGGAACAGTCATTTAGGAGAAAAACCACCAAAGGAATCAGAACTATAGAGTAATGAGGTTTTCTGAGACTCCTTCTTGGTGCCACTGTTTCAAATGTAGTTGCTCTGATACAAATTCAGATATCACTCTCCTTGCACAGTCTATTCTCATTTCCTTCCTGTAGAAACAGATGTGACTGTCATTTCCAATGTTGTGTGTTATTTCCTTCCCTTGGTGTCTATAATATGTGCTGCAAAGTGTCTGAATCTGATTGTGTTTAGTTTAAAATGCAAATAATATCAAACATAACAAAAAATTTGAAGCAAGCAGCATGATTTTACAGCAGACTGCAGATGACTCTCTCAGGATTGGCTTCATAGATAAGCAATACCTTTGGGAAGATCTATCCCCTGCCAGGGCCATAACAGGGGAGCTTCAGAGGAATAGTCACCCTTGATTTCTAACCCAGAGCTTCAGAGACCTTTTATATCCTACCTCAGGTCATTACAGACTGGGAAGAAAAGAATGAGCTGCTATGCATCATGGTAATACCAGGGCTACATCGGGCTTCAGAGCTACATTGCAGTGTCCTGATGTTGCTGGAATTTCTATAACAAGGCCAGAATGCTGTTCACTGCTTTGGGATGGAGCCTCTTAGTCAAAAGGAGATCCTGTGATTCTGGAGTGGAATGCCAAGGAGGAATTGAACTTTGGTCCAAAAGAATGGTATGAACTCTCCAAAAGGGATGTGGGACTCCTGTAAAATGAGAATTTGTTGCTGCTGAGAGCTCTTAGAAATGTTTTTAGAGATCTTTTTCTTCCCATAGATCTGTACAATTTTGTCTTTCCCAAGTTCAGATTTTGATGGACGAACTGGTCTCAACCAGAACCTTGGCTGTTTCACTGTTGCTTTTTTCTTGTATTACTAAAACCAACCTTTTACATAACTTTTACTTGAAATAATAAATTCAAGTAGTGCCATATGTGAGTGGTAGTCCTGCAAAATATGACACAAATTATGTCACAACACAGTCACACAAGGGAATTTGGAAAGATGTGAGTTTATTTTCTGCCTGCAGGAGTCATTGACTGTAGTCTCTCTCATCAGTTATTATTAAGTACCATCTCTCATAACATATCAGGCACAATGTAAGCAGAAATGGGAAAATTGTAGATTATGTGATTTTTATCTCTTCATCTAGTGACTTTAAAGAGACACTGAATGAGTGTATGTGTATCCATACATGAAGATTCTCTTGGTTAAGATGCCATATTATCTCCAACCTATTGGAAAAAGACTTTAAAAGCTTTAGCAGATTTCCTGAAATCTACGGACCTCTCTTCATCTGAATGGCAGAATCTGTGGTCTAAAGTTAATTAATGCTCCAGTGAAAGTTAGAGAATGGATTTCCCCATTACCAACTGAGCACCGATGTATTTCATTTGTAATATCTGTTTTCCCTTTCCCTGAGTTCCTGAGATTTGATATATCACCTTCCATGAGTGTGTGCATCTGGCTCCCTATAATTTTCTCAATAGGTAGGGAATTAATGTTGAGGTCCTAGAACTGACCACCAAAGCTGGTGCACATGTTCTGCTCCTGAACTGCACTCGGTCAACAGACTGAAGGAATTTTATTATTCATGTAGCTGTAAAACTGTATGCATTTCTGTCTTCTTATGAATAATTCATCCTTATCCTCCCATCTGCTGTTCAGAGAACCTCACCTCACAGACAAAATTTTGTCTGGGGCCTACAGAGATCCTGAATTTTCTCTGCTCATCCCTTTGCATTCCCCTTCACTTCTCCACTGCCAAAATATCCCCTTCCACCAAGTGGAGAACCTTGATAATGCCTTTGAGAATAGAGTGATTTTAAATTCTTTGGTATTTCATATGGAGATGTTTTAAAATGTTTATGCATGTAGTAGAGATAAGATTAAGTTGCAAGAAAGGGCAATATTACTGCACATGAAACAAATGAACCTCAGATATAAAAGCTAAAGTCTTACAGCAACACTGCCTTGACAATTTATTTGCTATTCTGTTTGAGGGTTTGGTTGGGTTATTTTTTTTTTTCCAAAGAGTTATAGCTTGTGGTAGAGCTATTTGCATCAAGTGCATCAACAGAGTATTAAAAGTGTAGCTGAAACTATTCCTGTTAGTGCCATTAAATACAGACCATTGAGTAGTTTCGAAGTAGTGAAGTCACATAATGCTCACGGTGTATGCTGGGTCACTACTAGTAGTTGCTGTGGAAACCTTATTGTCTCTTCTACCACAGCAGCTCATAATTGTAGCAGGTTTGTTTTTTCAAGGACTACATTCCAGACCATTTCAGAGAAAAAGAAACATTAACCTTCACAAAATGTAGTTTCATTAAAGGAGAGCAAATTTCTCCCCTTTCTGTGGCAGGTGTGGTAGTGGGAGTGAGGCTGCATTTCAGAGGCCACCTCAGGACCACTCCAGGTTTGCTGTTCAGGCACAAGGAAATGAAGCCTACAGAACCAGGAACACTTGAAGTAAAATGGGTTGAATTCTCCAGTAAGAGGTATGGGCCATCTGCTCTTCCAGAAATCAAGCAATCAAGCAGTGATGGCTGTAACAGCTTTATTGCTCATTGATGGAGGCCTGTTCTAAATGGGTTTGCATACAGGGAGGATTCAAACAATGCCAAATTTTTCCAGAGAACCTGAGCAGCACACATGCTGCACATGTGCAGCACACTGGTACCAACCAACACATGGAAAACTCCATGAAGAAACCTGCCTAGGAAGGCTGTTGATGGCCATGCTCTTCCTACATGTATTTAAAGAAAAATATTGGTCTGCAACTTAATATTTACAGTTGGGGACTAATGCTTGCCCACCTGGGCAACCATCCTATTAGCCTTCCCAAGTCCACTGTGAAGGCCTCAGGCATCTTTCCTGACACAAGAGATGCTTGTCAGCAAAGAGCTAGAGCATAAGAATAATTCCTCATAAGAATGACAACGAGAAAACAAGTGAGGGCTTTCAAAGTGAATGCCAAAGGGTTTTATTTATCTAAAAGTTGTTGGATTAAGATTTGGCTGCAGAGCTTTCTGTTCCTTGTATCACAGATGGTATCACAATAAGACTTACGATTCTCTGTGCTAGACCCTATTTCAGTAAAAATTATCTATAATTGTTTTAATGACTTTGTTAATGATTCACAGATATCTTATATGCACTATTTACTCATCTGTCTTCATTACCCCATGGCCTAAAGTGGAGATGCCACCAAGAAGAACAACAATAATTGGCTCCCATAGGAAAATGAACAGCTCAAGCTCTGCAATTAGAGACTGGTCTCTCCCCCTTAAACACTTAATTAATAGATGTGGGTATTCTAGGTTTTAAAATTCTAGTGATTGTATTTTTATACATTCACCAGGAACTTGGATAAGGAAATGAAGCTCAGTATATAAATATTTGTCTGGAGAGACACACCCTGTTGGTGTGTCTGAGAGCTGAGAGTTTCAGAGCTGAGCAGTGGAACAGGACATATGTAATCTGGGCCTGGGTCTGCTGGAGGGCTGGTGTATGCCAGTTTGCACACTGGAAAAGTGTTTCTCATAGGAATTATAAAAATGAGAAATTCCTGAAGTCTAGCTGTTGCTAATTTGGAAAGAGTGGAAGGGGTTAAGGAATAAGTCTTGCAGGGCTGATGCTGGCCTTGCAGAAGAAGAGTGCATGAGTGCAGTGCCTGCAGCCTTCTGCAAGGACAATGCAAGGTGATGTGACATGGTCCTGTCAGACACAATACCTTTAAAACAAGATGGAAAAGTAAAACGGCTGATCTGAGGTCCCAAGGCAGACACAGAAAAAAGAAACTTGTGTGTATTTGGGACAATCCCTGGAGGATTTGGTTTGAATAAAACCACACAGTCATTCCTGCAGCTTGTGACAGATATAATCCTGCTCCAGTGTACCCCATGTTCTTTCGGGGGTAAATTAAATGAGAAGAATTTTACTTTGTGTGTGAGAAAACACCAAATAACAAACTGATTATAGAAAATCCAGGGAGAGGAATTAAAGCATTCATGGGGTAAGCTCTTTGAAACAAGCACAATGAATTTTCTATGCACAGAACAAGCTCAAAGGGTACTGAACATAATTAAGGCATGTGAGAGGTTGTGCAAGACAGTAACATGATTAGATGTCCCAGCATCAAACACATCTACTTTCACAATACTTTGGCTCAGTCTTTTTCTGGAATGAGGTGCTGGTAGGCAACTTTCTTTTAGTTGCTTTGACTGTTGTTGCTATACATTTGCCACTAAGATTTGGGTTTGGGAAGAGAGAAACTACCTTTCTAAAGAGTCATTGTGGAAACAGATTTTGTCTGATGATTTTTATTTTAATGTCCATCTCAGCTAAATGTATCATGGAGAAAAGAGTCTCAAAATATCTGTTACTTCTGCTCATGGGGAAACCTTACCAGTCAGTGTATCTAACTAGCAAGGCTCAGAAACATTAATGAACTAGCCTGTGTCGTTAGCAAAGAGCTTGCCTCACTCTCACCAGGCATTTTTGCTGTTTGAAACATCCATTTTTTTTCCCCAGCCACGCACTACTGATTCTGAACAAATGAATATCACAGAAGAAGGGACTACGCAGACATGTTATAGATGTCTGCATCAAGTTTTGTAAATGTGGACAGATTTTTACCTATTTCCATCCAATGGTCTAATGAGAAGGGGAAGAAAATGAGCAAACTTTTTCTCTTTGAAAAGACGAATTTTCTCTTTGACTCAGAAATGGTTAAATCCTATATGCCCAAACAATTGGTTGGAAAATTCAGCTGATCTGGTTTTGTTGACCTCATTTCCATGTGGAAATTACTGTCAGGATTAGGATTGCTTTCAAAAAGAAAAAGAATTTCTGAAAACTACTTCATTCAGGATGTACTAAAATATAAGAAGTTAATAGAAAGTATTTTAATTTTGACTAATCTTTCTTAAAGGAATTCACTGGTTTTGTACTGACTAGGATTTTTAGGGCTCTGTTCATAAACATTTCTTTCATTATTGCTGGGGTTTTCCTTGTAAAATATAAGCACAGAATTATATAATGTATACTATATGCATCTGAGGATACTTTTTCTGTGTAGAATTATAATAAGGGACAGAAAAGCATTTAACACTATCACCTTCATTTATCAGCTTTAGCCAAAGGCAGTTGGGTTGATGACAACTTAGATTTTAATAACTTCAAATAATGAAAAACTTCAGTTTATTTGAATAAGAAAAGATTTTTATAGTCGTTTTATGAAAAAAAAACCTTCTAGAGTGTATTCTTGTAGTCTGGCTCTAGGTATCAGAGGTGTTAAGTAAAGTAAAACATTCCTGATTGTGCTAGAGAATTGAAGCAATGAACCCAAAAGAGAGCTGCAGGCATAATAGTTTTAGATGGGTTTGTTTTAAACCCAAAATTTCACAGCTGTCTGTTGATTCTGGTACAAAGAAATCAGATGAAGCTGAAAGAACATATCACTACACAAGAGATCAAGAGCTAAACCAACATTCGCTCCTGTTTGTTCAGTGCTTGAATCTGTGAAGTCAAATCCTCCTTAATATGAGCATTTTCCTGTTTAGTTGGAGACTTGCAAGGTTTT